TCCCTTCAGATTTTCAAAATTTTGTTCAATTTGGCTCAGTTTAGTTCAATAATTCACTGAACCAATAAGCTAGAATCCATAGGCACTCGACGGAACTTTCAGGACCAATTAGCACTCAATTCAACTCAACGCAGCACGTACTTCATCGTCATGCTTTCTACCATAAGCTTGGTTCAAGCGCTGAGCAACATTCTCTTTCAAGATACCAATTGCAGCGCTTTTCATCTGCTCAAACGGACTATTCATTAATAACTGCTGCAATAAAAACATTCTGGCATCATCTGTACACAATGCAATAATTCTAGATAATAGTTGATGCGCGTTGAAGCGCAACGTTTCTTCGGATGAAGTTGATGCAAAAGAGGAAATCATCTAAAAAAAAATATTATTAGGATGAGAATTTATTTATAACATATATTAATAGAAATAACGAATTAGTACCGTGAACAATGAACCTAGGGTTATTTCATCCTTTGACAAACTTGCAGTCAAATGTTGCATCGTGATGGTGCTTTCCTCATTCCTCTCAGCCAAATAAAGTAGCACCAGTAATACCTTGTCAATTATTTCGGTCTCTTGAGAATGTCTTTAAAAAAAGAAAATGCGAATAGCGATTATTCATGATATTATAATATCAGATTATGATAAAATACATAGAAATATGAAAATAAATTGTATAATATTCTTACTTTATAAACACTATAGAAGCAATAGGTGTAATTTCTCTAAACATATGTTCTGGGGATTCTGAAAATACATCTTTGAGAGTGTTTGATCCTTTAAGTGCCATAGACTTATAATAAATAGCCGATGCTAAATAAGAAATTACTCCTCTTGGAGAAATAGGATATTCGGAAGTATTGAATTTAGGCTTTGAAATATCTTTATTTTCGAACACCGAGTCAATATATTCTGGTGTCATTTCCTGGCTGTCATCTTCTACGTGGTCTTTGCTGTCTTAGTTATATATAATACCTTAGACGATAAATATCGAATAATTGTTAAATTAAGGCAAATAACATGTAAATTACCAATAACTTTTTTGTTCGCCTGGATAATATAATTCACCAATTGGTTACTGGAAATGTGAGATTTGACAGCAACACACTGAAATGAAAATCAATTAATATTACAAACTTAATTTAAAAGTCGTGGTCACAGGTTACTCACGATCAATTTGCTTAATCGCTGTTGATCAATCAACCTAACATTATCTCTCTGTTTTTGTTTCCATGGAACATTGAACTTTGGGTGGAAAGTTTCATAATAAATGGATGACATTGGTATGCAAAAGGATCGAACAAACTCTTCAAAAGATTGTACGATTAAATAATTGATCAAAAAAAACTCTTGATCAGGTATATCATTTGGTGTGATGCTAAGTTTAAGGTCCTATAAAACGAATTGTGAGAAATAGTCAACTAGATTGGAGTGCTGTCTATGACTTAATAATTACTAACCTTGCTGTCAAGGTTAATCGTTTGCACTGTAAATTCTGTGAAACCGATTAGACATTCAGTTACGAGATCTAAATTTTTATCCTTTAAAGTTTTTAATGTTTGCCATGCTCTAACAATATATTGGAAAGTTTCAGCTAAAAATTTTGAAAAAATTTTGGGGCGAAGCTTCTGGAAAGACCTCTGAAATACTATAAATAGAGTTAATATTAATATCTACAAAGTTTAAATTTTCGAGTACCAATTTAAAGATGTAACACCTATTCTGAGTATCTTTATTAATCCAGTAAATTCAGATACAAAATTTTCTGAATTTTCCCAATCAAGCAAACTAAATCTTTCAAAAAGTATCACATGAATGTCTCGAACATTGAGCTGAGCCATAACATCAACAATTTCTTGAACTATAAGTGATGTTGATTCATATGATGACAAGAACGGCACTAACAAAGAGAAAATTTTCCAGGAAAACGTGTCCATAAGTTGAATCTATTAGATATTTTAATCACGTTGTTAGAAGTTGACCTCTGGCAAATTATGGAAAAAATGACATCCTGCCTTTTGTTCTTCATCTTTTATGGGAACTGTGACATCTTTTATACAATTTAACAATTCGATCTGTTCTTGTTCATTATAAGATGTAGGATTGGATAAATATTCGTCCAAGATATTCTCAAATGCAATATATGCTTTGTTATCTGTTGG